TCTACAAGTTAGGGTTAAATTGGTTTATTACTGTTATAAGTACCACCGCCAAATTACAACAAAATTAGGTAAAGGATATTGAAGAAATTTGCGAAAGACATCTTTTTTGAATTTCAATACCCTGTATTTTGAGAACGAAGATTTTTCGAACTGAACTTTTTGCCTTAAAATTACTGGAAGACTCGTCTGTTGAATGTAATAATTAATACCCTGTATAAACGTTCCTCAATAACCTACGTTTTAACTTGCAGAAAATAAGTTGATCTGAGATCTTACTCTATTAAACTGCGTATTCCCATCATCCACTATGGAAAAGTGTCCGCATTTATTTGTCTTTAGACAACGGCTGCAAAAACCAACAACCTATAAAATAATATGGTTAATTTGTTCTTTATTTCTACTTTAAGGTCACTTAAATTTTTTTACTCAAACGTTGGCTATAAACGGGCCCTAAATGTCACTTTACGACCCAGACATATAAAAAGGTATCAGTTTTTACTTCCTACCTATTTGTCGTACCAGCATTTGATACCCATTGTAAACATCTGCGCATAAAACAAATTATTTCGCGGTCTAATGTCTTTCAGTTGCTTTTTATACATATGCACTGGGCTATGTACAAAAAGTTGCTGTACTAATTACTGTATAAACTGATGTATTAACGAAACAACAAAGAAGGCTGTTTGATTTATCGATGACTCGATATTTAAAAAAAAACGTTTATTCATCCAAGTGAAATATAACGAGTTAGCTTCGGTTCAATTGCTAATACAAAACGTACAAAATGTATAGATCATTTGATAAGGTCAATAACAATGACGATTCAGACGATGAGTTTACCGTTAATCTTATACTAAGTAACATAAATCCGAACACCCAGTTTAAATGGTTTTGTTTTAATAAAAGTTGGTGAATGTATTTATCTTACTGTAAATAACAAGTGAAAAAGTTTTCAGCCTTATCAGTTGGACATTCCGGTTTTTATACTGCTTTTTTTTAATTCACTAACGCTCTAAAAATGAATATTTCAGCCGCAGTAAAGAAGCAACGTTGACGGATTTTGGTTCTTGACATCCTTTATGATCGGTTACGATGCCTAGAGTACGGAGACCTGTACGATTTCGTCAACTTAGTGAGTTTGATAGGGGCCGTATAGTGGGACTTCGGGAAGCTGGACTTTCTTTTCGGGCAATTGCAGTTAGAGTGCAAAGAAGTGTAGACACTGTGGTTAGGTGTTGTCAGGCATGGCTTCCAGAAGGCCGAACGCAAAGAGCAAGGGGCACTGGATGCCGCCGTAGAACAACAGACCGTGAAGATCGCCGCCTAAGATTATTGGCCTTAAAGGACCGTTTCTCCACTACCAGGTCCATTGCAAATGAATGGTTTGCAGAACACGGAAGACCTATCGGCATGCGAAGTGTTTACCGACGAATGAGAAGTTTTGGCTTGTTTTCATACCGGCCACACTGGGTCCTCCCTTTAACTCGAGAACACCGACGTAATCGCCTTGAGTTGTGCAAACAACGGTCACTCTGGGATCAGGAATGGAACAGTATTGTCTTTAGTGACGAGTCTCGATTTTGTTTAGGCATGCACGGTGGTCGTGCCAGGGTTAGAAGGCGACGTGATGAAAGAAGGAATCCACAGTTTTTTGTTGAAAGACATGTTCATCACACTGTTGGAGTTATGGTTTGGGGTGCTATAGCTTATGGTTCCAGGTCACCTTTAATCTTCATCAGAGGTAACATGAACGCGCAGCGTTATATCCACGAAGTTGTAGAACCCCATCTTTTACCCTATCTTGACACCCTGGCAGATCCAACTTTCCAACAAGATAATGCCCGACCACATGTTTCAAGAGTCACAATAGACTTCTTTCAACATAATGATGTCACATTGTTACCATGGCCACCAAGATCTCCCGACTTATCCCCAATTGAGCACGTGTGGGATATGATGGGTAGGAGATTGCTCAATTTGCAATGTCCTCCTCAGACTCTAGAAGCACTTCGAGAGGAGTTGGTGGTTGCCTGGAATGAGATACCACAGGAGGACATTGACCACCTGATCAGAAGCATGCCTAGGCGCGTTGGAGAATGCGTAGCACATCAGGGTGCATCCACACATTATTAAAGGTCAAAGGGCTTTAAAGCAGTGCAATCATTTTGAAATTTTTATCATTTACTTATTATGCTTCATTAAGTACTTATACAAAATTTTATTAAAATAAAACCATTTAAACTGGGTGTTCGGATTTATATGTCACTTAGTATATTTTTCTTGAATCCCTCAGCTCATTTATTGCGACTGCACTTTCTCGTGCTAAAAATGCCGAAGGGTAGATCTAATACTTCTAAAGAATTATAATATAATTATATTTATGTGGAAGAAATAAATTAATGAATGTATGACTTTCATATTAATATTTTCAAGAATTAATTGAATATTGAGAGCGGTACTGAATCTAGTTTTCTTTATATCTTCATATTGGTTAAATCCTAGTATTTGATTAAATGGGCATTCGAATAGGATAGTTCACCGTTAATCTTTAGGTACAACCACGACTAGAGATAGGAGGTTAAACTGCGTAAGGGGTACACGTATTAGTATGAAGCCAATCCTCTCGCCAAGGACGACGAGGCTCTCGGAAATCTATCGGGCATACAACATGGCCTAGAGTATCTGGGCATTGAAAAATTTAAAAAATGTCAACATTGCTATGGATATATAGAATAAATATATAAACATAAATAGCTGAATACGTCTTTTATTTTATATACTGAGCTCTAAATAAATGCCTGTCGAATTTTTCAGTTGATTTCTATTTAACTATCCTCATATGCAGAGACACTGGTTACCCTTAACTATATTACAATCAAGCTTTTAGTTTTTTTAAAGCAATGGCATGGTTATTCCTAACTATAATCCAATCGAAGTTCACGTTTTTCCAAACTCTTAATTATATTTGGCATGATTGTGAGGGGGTAGGTATTCTATCTGGTACTTCCGCAATACTCCTTTCCAAGCTCATATCACAATCATCACGTATACTATATTCCTGTAATTTCCTTTCTGGAACAACACCACTTAATCTTCTTATCCGACCTCGTGCTCACTTGCAGTTCTTTCCATGGTTTTTAAATACATTAAAAATAATATTTCGTAGCGCGAAAAACATCATATTATCACGTACATATTCATACAGCGCGAAAACCCAATTCTTCGTAGGTTTATTACAGGGTACATACAAGAGCCGCTTCAGTGCCCCGAACTATTCTAGCAAATGCGCATGGGAACGCGACGATAAAAGCTAACCTATTTGTTGATGTTTTGCTTTGACGTTGACAATTTGTGTCACACTGCCAAACACATTTTGCCTTCATTTTTAGAAGCATTGTCCGTCTATCCACTTGATGCCTGATGATGGTTTTAGAATGATGGCGCAACACATCAGAGGTCTGTATTTTTATTGTAAAGCTTCTGGATGAATGTGTCGAATTCATATTTTAGTGTAGACATTCAAAATTATTTTCAAAGTGTCTAGTTACATGTAGATGAAGCCAACTACTAGCCGCTATGAACCTGCATTCTTTGCACTCTCTTGTGATCTTTATTATTCAGAAACATCTCAAATGTATGTTGTAATTCTGGGTCATAACACTATCAGTTTTTTACCATCCCCCATTGTTTGGTATCTGTTTGATGTGAGTTTAATGAAAAAAAAAGCAAAAACGATGAAAATACATAACCTAACAATCTTGACACATTGTCATTTTCATTATCCTCTTTATTTCGGAGCATCTAACGCCGAATAAAAAGCTGGTGCATGAGCGGGCAGGGGACTTCAAAAATAAGTAGCTCAGGTGCATGACGCTCTACAGCACTGGAACGGTATTGACAGGTGATGGGTAGGTCCGAGTTACTCCGAGTAACACAAACGAGGCACTGGAAAGCACCTAACATAGCACATGAAATTCATTTCCTGCGCAATGTACTAGCTTACTTCATCATCGACAGTTGGCGCTGTGCACTCCCTCACTATAAGTTTAACCTCCTATCTCTAGAGGATACAATAAAAGCTTAGAACTACTGACACATCAGAAAACATATGACACCTTCAATCCTCCAAAACCGGGATTAAGGGCTCTTGGAATATTCCCAAAAACAGTGAAAGCCTGGTTAAGCAAAACCAATTGTAGAGTTCATAGCCGTATCAAACAAGCATCAAATGCTGTAGCTATCCTAGTAGGGAGCTGCTCATTTTCCTGGTTGGGACTTTTATATACCACTGCAGCTTAACAAGGCGTTTATTCCTCATGGGGTTAAAAAATGATACTATCTGCCCCAAATGTTTAAAAGATCTGAGATTGTTGGCGTGGCGACTTATGACAGAGAATATAAGTATTAAGTAAATTGTATGATTTCAAATCAGGATAAGTGGTTGAAATTGGAATTATAATGTTTGAACGTCATTTTTACAAAAAAGTTGACCCTGATTCCTAACAGAACCACTAGACTCAATGCTGTGATCGAGCAGTTTTCGGTCGGTGAATAAATTAATCTGCGTAAATACGTGTAGTTTTTGCTGCATGCGTGACCTTCTTATTCACATAACCCAATACATAAGCATTAGCTTCAAGGGCAAATAGTGAAGTAGGTAGGGATAAGAATACGCCAAAACTTCTAATGTTCACTGTAAAAACCACCATTTTTATGATTCCTAACAAAATGTGCCGCTAAATCGATTAAGTATACTGTTAATCGATATAATTTTTGTTTTTCTTTTCCCAGGAAGCCTGTCCAGCCCCACTAAATATTACGTATCGACAAAAAATCGTAGATTTGGACAAAAACGCCGGGTCAATATTATTGTTTTGAAATACATATGCGAATAGCTTTGTAATTTAAATATCCAGTCAAGCATGGCAGTATTTATATAAAAGCTATTTTTCGAAGAAACCTATTAGTTTTATGCATGTATACCACGTTGTATGTAACCGAAGGAACTATGCAAAATAAGGTACGAGTACTAGTGTGTTGTGGATCTGTGACATGTTACATATTATGTGGGCTGACACTTGAGGATTATTGCATCTCGCAGCGGAATCGTCTCAGCAATTGTGGATATTGTGTTAAATGTGCGTGTTTGCTGATGTTCCAAATCAAATTGCTATGTGCATCTTGAGCCTAGGTGGTTCGATGACCTATTATGGAATGATTCAGTAGATAAAGGGGAGGCCTGTGGTACCGAGATACGTGAACAGTACAAAATGTAGTTTCAATTATGGAGATATGTGCGAGTCCTTAAAACTCTTTGATGAGCGAGATGAGTCAAAATTTCCCTTAGGCGGACAAATCTGTAAGATTTCATCAGACGTTTTATGATCTAGAAAAATATTGTTTTCTCATACTAGTTGCACGTTATATTATCCCTTGAGGAAAATAGATCTGAAATACACAATACATATGTTTTCATTGGTTAATCTTCCGTTTTAAGCTATAGTTAAAATGTGTCACAGTGACAGTGACGAAAATCCTACCAAACTCATCCTAACCAATTTTTGACAGTCTCTTTTGTTGGTACCACAGATGTTACGTGTACAGATATGACAGTGGCTGTCAGACACTTTGATCTGTTTCACCAATTTTAGAAGGGAGCAAATAAAAAGTATATGATTATACTCGAACAGAGTTCTACGTTATCATATTAATTATACGACTTACTAAATACTGAATAAACTTACATTTGATGACTTGTCAAGAAAAGCTGCCCCAGAATACACCAGACACATATCTTTGGTTGCGTGATCATCTTATTCAAATTATGGTTAGAATATGTTACAGTGATGGAAAACCTACGAAACTCATTGTATCCGATTTTTGTCTTGACTTTCGTCTCTGGTCGTATTCTGTGCTGGTATCACAGATGTCATACATGTACATCCGTGAGTGATTGTCTGTCCCTTTTCACATTCTGTTGCATCTAATTCTACTATGTAGCACAGCAAAAACGCAAGAATTTATAAAAGTATCCTCAAGTAGAATTCTTACAAGTCTCTCGTACCAAAAACTATTTTCATTCTCAGTGGTTACAAGCGATCGAAATGCAGTACCAGCGGTAATTTGAGACGCTAATTTCGAATATGGCCATCAAAAAATCCTAAAGCACAGCAAAGGGTTCTCAATTCAAAGTTTGCGCCCCCTGTACTTACAAATGGACAAAACCCAGTAAACAAGATTAATTTGAAAGCTGATTTTGAATATGGTCGTAAAAAGTAATTTTGAACCATTACCCAATGATGTGACTGAGAAACTGAAACCAACTTCCTTAATTACGCACCTGCCTCACTAAGAATAGGTTTCACTCGAGACCGCAAAGGGCATTTTTCGATAGTATGCTCCGAAATACCTTAATGTAAAATTCCCATCTCCATATTCGTTCGAACATAGACAAATAATAAGGCTACATTTAATTTATAAGTTTTCAATAGCTTTCTGGCAAAACATTTATCCGGATGCTGAAGAACACCCCCTCTGCAGCAGAAATCACATGGTGATTACTTGGACTTCTAACTTTCGTATATGTTGTTATCGCTGAGAATAATGTGAAGTTATTGGTTGCTAGAATTAGCCAGAGCAATGGGCAATATATCAATTCAAAGCCTTCTTGGTGTATTCCAGTGGACGTCATGGACACTTTTTTGCAGAAGTTTTGTTGCGGCTCTTTGTTCAACGTTTGTCACATGTACGCCAAAGAGAACACATACTCTGAATATTTTGCTACCATAGAATACTAAGATCATTTGTTGTCAACAACATTCATCATTCATCTGGAAGAAGTTCAGAGGCTTAACCTCATATATATCCAAAAATTTGAGTCAGACATTTTGAAATACCTACCTACTTGTACCCTACTTCTAGGGCATAATATTTTGGTGCATCCTAGCCACAGTATCACAAATAACAGTGATATATGGCAACCATCTTGAACATCATGACCACTACGACTACCCCCGATACAAATTTGGATACGGAGTGCATGACCCCCATACAGGGGACCAACATTCACATCATGAGACTAGAGATGGTGACGTAGTAAAGGGGTGAGTAATAAAGTTTAATTACTAATACTCAAACCAAGAGACAGTAGCTTATTGTATGAGAATTATTTAGTGGACTTTATGTGCTGACCTCACGAAAGCATGTGAAACCAATCTAACGAAAATTCTACTGCATAATCTGTTTCGATAGATCAGTTTCTCCAATTTGAAGGAGGAGAAGAGAATTATTATTAGAATAACAATAGCCATAACAAAACATGAATTTATAGGAGGTTATGGTAGTCTAATTTCGTCTAGTCGCCACATGTCATATTTGTGTTTTTAAGTTAAATTATATTGATTCTCATTCACGCATGCCAAAACAAACTCAAGCGATGTTGAAACTTCTGCCAACTTGACAACGATCTATAAGTGCTTGAGCAGGAACCGACAAGCGAATAGAAGCCATGATCAAGTGCTCGTGTTTGTTTTGACGCGAAATAAGTGAGGTTTGAGTAGGGTACTGGTACGGACATACTACTTCATACTCAAAAGTTCAGAGTATTGCTGATCGATGAGAAAACACTAATCTTATAATCTATTTTCATGTACAAAATCTATCGACATTTGGTCCATTGTAGTGTAAGAGTAGCCTCACTTAGTGAATTGAGAGGACGGAACTGTAGAACATAGAATCTTATTTTTAGTGGAATTTATTCGCAGGTACTACACAGTGGCAGATCCAGATGGCACCCTTCGTACCGTCTACTATACCGCAGACGACCATCATGGCTTCAGAGCAATAGTAAAGAAAAGTGGAATAGCTGTTCATCCAGAAGTGCATCACGGTTACCACGAGCATCATCATCCAGCAGCTTATGGTGTTGGCCATCATGAAGCATATTAAGAAATTACTTAAATACCATATAATATTTTTGTACAAATTACTATTAAGGGTAGAACAATTTTTAACCAAATTTAATGCTAAGATATTCACAATTTTACAAGTACTGCGGCTATTTTCTGCCCTTGGATATGATCTAATGTTACCTTAAGGTACGCGTCCACATAGTACGTTCAGAACTATTCGCACCAAATGGATCAAATTCTGGTAGTGCGTCCATTGTATCTGCAGCAATGGGACTGCGATGACGATTTAGAAGTACAGTATTAAAATTTTCATCCACGACAATTGGCAGAATAAAAAATAATCTATGCAGTCTGTGCTGCCTAAGGGGATGTGTCCACTGATCAACAAATCCGTAAGACGTCAACGGATGCATCGCACCTGCAATATTTGATAATTATAAAATTCATTTATCGCGAACAGTCCAACGAGTCGAAGACAACCAGATGCATTTTGGTTATCTACAGACTCCAAATCAGGTATGTTATGCGGCCATTTAAGTCTCACATCTGATTGAATTGGATTAGAACTGTAAAAACCCACATTCTAAGAATAGCTGTAATGGCTCCATTGAAAGAAGTGTACAAACATACAATTTACCTACATTCCGTATAAAAATATCACGGATTACATGTTTCAGCTATTATATAAGACGGACGTTTACATGTATCAGTGGTTTCTGGTGCAATTTTTATTAAACTGTACATAGTGTCTTTTCAGGTTTAAGAATAGTATAGTGAAATTGTAAGGAACCGAAAGAAACATATTAGTAAACTTTTAGAAATTGTAGTTTATCTTTCATTTACTTACATCCTTTATTTTTTATATGGGTCAAGCTGACATCCGGGGCAATGGAATTAATGCATGAATCCTGCAGTTTGGCCCAACAATATGAAAAATCATTTTTCTATGAAGTAGAAAATCATGTGATACGTCGTTGCAAATCTCCTTATGCGCACTTTATAACCATGAAGCATAAATTTACTATCTTTGAAGATGACAAACTGGCAGGCGATTAAAGCTGAACGTTTCACTTCCCATGCTTACTGGCGAGAAGTATTGAAATCGCAAAATTTTTCGAAAATGTGATATGTTTTTTGGATGTTATAAGACATGTACGTCAGGAAAAACCAAGTCGGTCTGCCTGTCTGTCTGTCTGTCGGTCTTCTTTAAACAATCTTACCACTGTACCAAGGATGCAAAAGGTAAAAATCGCTCAAACCTCGTTATTTGACGTTTCAGAGAATTATAATAATTTTTTATGAACATTTTATAGAAGGAAAAAATTGGTGTAACATTCTACAATGCTTTAACGATTAGTTGTTGAGCTACAAGCAATTTGATGTACAAAAACGCTCAATTTTGGCTGTCAGTTCGCCATTTTGAGAGATAGTGATTTTAGATTCTAGAACCAAAAAATACTCACAAGGGGCAAGTAGGGTATGACATGACCTCCAATTTTTCATAAAATATTCCAGCCTCTTTCTTGAAACGTTCAACTGTTACTTTCATGCTAAAATGTTGTATTCATAAATTTATTTCATTCCCAACTTTGCTAACATGACCCGTTCAAAGGGAAAGTGGGCTCTTTGAAAAGCAGTGCATATACCCTGCGCATAACATCGTTATAACAAAAAAGCGTTGAACATCTTAGTGGTTCTGAAGAATAAAGTTAATTTACTCTATCTTTACTAGCGGTTGTTGCCTGTGTGACGGGTCACACGCAGTCACAACAATATCACGGCTGATCGGATGTCAAAAAGGACTGTTGAAATCAGAATTCTAGATGCAAAAATTTCGGCACACTGCCAATTGGAGACATGTCTGAAGATCAGACCCATCAAAAACATATGAGCTGTCCTAAAGATGAAGTAGCTATATGCTTCCTGTTGATATCCAGACAACAATTGGTTTCCTACTGGCATTGCGACTGAACACTGCCAGCTAAGGTAGAATATTTATAAACCAATTTGTCCTTGTATAGGGGATGCTTAACGCGGCTATTCGTTTTTTGGGTCACAGCGGGACGGTATACAGGACTTCGCTTTACTTATGGCAATCAGTAGGACCAATTCTTAGGCTTCAGAGCCAGGGAAGGGTATGTCAGCGATTAAGCATGCAGAGCTTAAAATCTAGCGCCAACCCTGACTGACAGCCTCTCCTATTTTCTCCCAGTTTGAGAAAACGGCAAAATTTTGTCGGGGACACCACCACAAAGCCAATAAAAGAGGGACGGCTTCGTTGACGGATAGGGAGATGAGACATAATCCATTCTGAATATGCATGGAATCCAATTTGGGCTGCGCTCCTAGCTACTCTTCAGTGTGAGGCGAAATGTACAGTGGATAAATAATACATCTTTGGCAATGACTCCGCATCCTCTTTTTTCAAAAACGACTTCATCAAATGTGTCGTAAAGTATTCTTAAAAAATTACTCTGCGGACCCAAAAAAATCAAATTTTAATTTAGCTTCCAGACAACCGCAGTTTATACACAGCTATCAACAATATAATTCTTTATTAGGTACGTATCAGATCTGCCTTTGTCATAAAACTAAACTGCTCGTGCCTATAGGTTCTGAGTTAAGATCAAAGACATGCCACTTTAGGAGTGAGAATGAACTAACCTTTCTACCAATGTTAATTGCTCACATGGATCTGATAGCCATTTAAGCTACTTGGTTGCCCAGAATTATCAGGTTAAGTACCTAGCATACCGATAGTGAGTGCAAAAAATCATTCCACATACAAAATCCAGCGGTCAGCTGTTGAAACTGAACCTTAATATACTGTTAATTTTAAAACATAACGAGTACTTAATATGAGAGTTACAAGATATTGCCATATCTACGAAGAGGCATTCCGGTAGATTTGCACTGTAGTTTTGTGAAGATTTCGCTTCACAAAGAGGTAAAACAAATATTTAGAAAAAAATTATATTTCTATCCAAATAGCTCAATAGCATTTTCATAGATATTTCATGTCCACGAATTTGCTGTTAATTCCTGCATAATGTAAATAGTAGATAATTCTTCTAGCTAAATGCCACAGCAAGAAGATGAGGTTAGGGTTACAGCTAAATGAATGAGAGAACGGAATGGGTTTTGTTTTTACTGGGAGATTTTGGAACAACCAAAAGGGTTTTTATCCTTTTTACGATAATTTTTGCACATATGCAGCTTTATTGCTTATCTTAGCATATTATGTACGTTTATCTACCTTAAAGAGAACACAAAGAAGTTCATATGCCCTGGTATACTTGGCCTACATAGTAGATTATAGGCGGTTTTTTGCTTAAAACTGTATTATGGTTACGTGCTAGGTATGTCGATACAAATCCATTAGACGAAAAAACTTCTGCGTCAACAAATGTTTTGTCTGTAGTTGAGGGTCGTCCAGTTTCTTTAAAGCAGTTGATTGTTGTTACACACTTACAAGCTGCATTTGGCTACAATTATTGCTACCTCCTGTTTACGAATGAGAACTTTGTATGGGTCGTAACGAGTTAAACATGGTGAAGGGTGTTCAGACGGAAGGGATACATTCCCAAAAATTAACCTCAATTTTATTATTGATTAAAAGAGCATGAGAATGACTAAAAGATTGTTTTACACGTACAAGATTTTTCCCCTTAAAGGTAACAACGTTTCGATTTGTAATGTTGAGCATCATTTACGCTACACGTTCATAAGTTGTAGTCGAAGATCGTTATTAAAAAAGTAATTTCCAGAAACTTAGCGTTGAAAAATAGGTGCCTAAAACGTTTCCAATCATCAACTAAGATTTGATTCTCATGCAAGAACACATAAGGTAGTTAAATCAGATACACAGTATTTAATTACAGTGTGACAAAAATCGCAGACGTACAACACTTCTTTGCCTGCTTCCTGCTTTTTTTTTCATTCAATTTAATTGTTTCGAAATGCATGAACATGCATTCCACTAGCACTCCATTAGCATTCATTTCATCATTTATCCGAACTTAAAGAGCGATTTCAAAAGAATAGTGAAGCATCCAATAAAATGTCAAACATCTAAATGAATCAAATCTCATGAGAAAGACGAACCTAGGATCTCATTATTTCAGGAAACATGAAGGTTTATTTGCGAGTATCTAGGAATAATAACGGAAACTTAATCACGTCAGCAACAATTTTTCTGTTATGAAAACACAATTTTCAACTGGAGAATAGTAGGAAGCCTATATGAATAAAATAATAAAAAATATAAGTATTTATAGAAATCGGAGAACTCTATTACAATTTATCATAAAAGCAACAAAGGCAAAAACGTTCAACGTATAAATTTGTTACACTCTGCGCCATCTACCAAGGCTGAAAGCAACATGTATCTCTTACTGCGCAAAAGAGAAACTGCAAGTGAAAGCACTACTCAGTATATAGGTATAGCGTTTCAGCTGTAGGTCGCTATATGGCGTTGGTATATATATTTTTGAATTTCCAGAATTTTGTCTGAATAAAAAAGCTAATTATTTAAAATCATTTGAAGCTGCCGTTCACCTACTTATCCGTACCTATTTTGTAAATAAATGCAGCTGGGATTTGCGCTTGATCGCTCATTGGAATCTCCATCTGTTTATCCTTATTTTTTTGCAAAAACACTGATATTGTCCTCTCTAGCTCTACCACAGCTGATTGAAGTTGTGATCCCTACAATAGTGCATTGAAGGAAAATATTGAATCATCTGGCATAGTCAGAAACAATCCTACTGTCTGTATGTTACAGGCTAATGGATATATTTTCATGTTTGATACTAAGCCTTTATCTGAATTAATAGTCACAATAATAATAATTTATTGGTGTTAATACAATACGGTGGTTACACAGGTCAGATTTGTAAAAACACAGAGATAACAGGTAAATAAAAGTAGATATGATAAAATTTGCATACAAACATTCATATCACATCACAGAGATCATCATTCATGAATTGAAAAAAGCTTTTTTGAGGAGGAACGTTTCAATTTTTTAAATAGAAAATTGTCCTACAGATGTATTTGACATTTTCACGGTAGTCACTGACGTTCTTTGTGATGTAAGTATAACAGACAATTCAGCTTATAGCTACATGGTAGAGTAAAAATGTTTAATTTGATGAATTCGTATTCAGATCTCTGTACCTTAGGTCAGATATGTAGCGTGCCTGTGCAAACCCCTCTAAGTAATTTTCTAATGAAAGTATGCATGGTAACTTGTAACTAAGATTTTATAATATACTTAATACTTCAGGTTACGAATGAGGTATAGTATTTTGAATAGGTTATTTACAACACTATCAGCATGAACTCCCCAGGTCATGTTGGTACTGTCAATATGAACTCCTAAGAATTTTACTGAACATGAATTTTATAGTTGATGGCGATAGTTAACAAATTCGATGCAAATCAATCAGCAACGTTGTATCATCAGCACAGAAAAATAATTTACTATTAAAAGATGGAGGTATGCTGTTAGTGATGTCGTTGACATAAATAAAAAGAGAAGGGGATCGAAAACAGACTTTTGAGGAACTCCATGGATGACCCTATTCTTTGTTGAATATTAGAGAGGTAGTAACTTAATTTGTGTCGGCTCAATGTTATAAAAGGCTAGTTTATTTATTAAGATACCCAACTAGCAAAGTAGTGCTGTAAGCTTTTGGTAAAAGAAACGTTTATACAACTATTTTATACGGCATATTTGCACGATAGTCAAAATGGTTGTGTTGTGGCATCCATGGTAACGTTTATAAAACAAACCCGAGCCTTGTTGTTTTGCTGTGCAAATTTACTACTTTAGCCAACAAATTGCTCCCAACGGAAGCACTTATACAACTGTTGTTTAGTAACTGTTAAAGGCTGTAAATATGTAACAATATTACAACTTTTGTAGTACAAAATTGCTGTGCTCGGCATACATTTGTAGCTAAATATGTTGGTATACAACTTCACAATAACCTAACTTTCTGCTGTTAGTTTTTTGTTAAAATGTCATAACCAATGTTTTAAGACAATGCATATTGGTTCAAAAGGTTTTATCAACTGTTCAAACAGAAGATATAGATCTGATACAAATTCTGGGTAAATCATTAGACTCTGTCGGTATTTTATTTCAGACATTTGTCAAATTGTTGTATAACACCTACAGGCAACACCAAAATATTCTAATAAACCAAAGACAACATGGACGTTGCCATGATAAATAATTATGTTTCAGTTCGAAATTACAGATATAAAGTGATAAAGATTAGTGTAATTGTGCCTTGATATAGGATTTGTGGAAGATTTAACGCAGACAAGTTCAGTTTTCCATCTTAAAAATCTAGACATACTTTGGATCATTATTAAAATATGAATCAAATACGAAGCCCGTAGAAACTGCGTAACTACTTTGCGTGATAATCACAATAAAATTTGCTGCGCATGTAATTCAATAGCCCTATATCACAGTGTAGAAGTTTATCATATACCTGTTTATGAAATTCACAATGACCGATATGTAAGTAAACAAGATGACTGTAATGTGTTAAGTAGTTATATATTCTTCACTCCGTCTATACAATACATAAGAAATAGTTTGGTTGCAATAAAGTGGAATCACGTAACAGAATAGTTGTATAGTTGACAAAAACTGAATCTTGCACTGACGCAAATGTCCTATAGCGGCTGCAAGAGGCTTACACTTTTGTTGTATAACTGTTACCTGCACCCTTATACAACCTCTTAAATGACTCAAGTGTTCTATTAGGTGTGCCCATTCCGCTTGTATAGCTGTTGTTAGTTCGGTATTATGTTGGACGCAATCTAATGCTTTACAAAGATATAAAAGATTAGCTTGAAAGAATAGTTGATTCCCCTAACCTTCATTCACTTACTGTTTCTATGAATCCGTTAATAGCAACTTTTGTAGATCTATTTTTCCTAAAGCCATATTGGCTATTGTTTAATAAGTTGTTCGAGTCAAGGTGGTTAATTAGCTGATAGAATTTCAAAACATTTTGCGAAATACGATATTAAGGAAATCGGGCGACAATTTGCAATTTCGTACATTGAGCCTTCCTTAAAAATTGAAGCAACTACAGATGTCTTCAAAACATCAGGAAAAATGCTATTCTGAATACACTGATTAAAGGGTTTTGTAAGAGGGATGATGATCAATTATTGATTTTATGATTCTAGCATAGTAAAGCCATGAATGTCTGTACTTTTAGAGTTTTTCATCGAGCTGATAGCTGACCTCACATGATTGCATGACACTTCTTTAAATGAAAATTTATTGACTGTATCGTTGTTCGTTCAGTAGTCTAGATGGTTTAAGTTAATTCTTTTGTATTTATCAACTAGTTACTAAGCTACATTTGTTAAATGTAAATTCAAATTGATGAATCACCTTTTCGGGCTGCAGATACAGACTCATTGCTTTTTATTAATCTTCACATGGCTCTTTGTGGATTACTTAAATTCTTAGCAAAACGGTCTTTGATTGAATAACGGCCTGGCGATATGTTGACCTGAATCTATCAACCTCGCTGTTTGTGACAACTAAGGGGTCAGTTTTATGAAGATCCATAAAAAATCTCAAATGATCTCTCATGTTATGGAGCGTATTCATTTGATACCAAAGCTCTTGGGTGAGAGATAAAATATTGTCATTCAACCGCGAGGTTTACAAAATTCGAGGTGGTTAAGTTAATGATGGATCGTACAAAAACAAATGTATTCCGCTCGATTTTTATTTTTACGTAATAACCTGTATAACAATATAAGAAAATAAATAACGTCTTGATTAGTCATTAAACTTCAGCACAGTGGTATACTTCACTACCATGGTACTGTAGACTTAACACAAATATCTATCATAATAAAGTATAAATAAAAGCAGCACAGTATAGCATTATTTTGTCTAAGAACAACCCTCCCTGGCTGAGATCTTAAACATCTTCATAGTTTTTACATAACAAAAGTTTAACATCAGATATGGAACACTTTTTAGCTCAACACTGCTTGATTTCAAGAATGTAATACGGATTTTCAAACGCTAACTACGGTAATAGAGTCCTAGTGGCTACAATTCAAAAACCAATGCAGACCTCCAAAATACCTGATAGGAATGAGGTAATTTACCATGATTATGTAGACAAGTGAGATTATTCCTGAATCATGAGCAAGCAGCTCGGCTGACTCTTTCGTATTCTTATGATTAATAGGTATATTCTAGATCTTGGATATTTGATTTCACAAAAAAAAATCCTGTCTTCACTTTCAGTTGCAACAACTAACCGTGGGCTACGTTACACACTGACATTCATTAATGACTTAAGTACTATTAATGACTAATATTTCCAGTCAAAAAGAACTGTATTGCACATACGCCCTCTATAATATCACTCAAGTCCTTAAATTGTCTCTATAGACACATGTTTCGCATATCTTACGTATCCATCCGCTGGCAAAGATCTATATAACTGAGGAATTTCAACGCTATGTCTTTCTTCGCTTATCTTCTCAGTTATAGGATACTGATACATGAAGTGTCTTCTTTGCGGATTTATCCTTGGTCCCCTTATCCTATGCTTATTCCTCACTTTATAGTACTTTGAAGAGTAACTGCTCAATCCAGGCGTAGATACAGGCTTGTGAGGCTCGGAGTAAGTATGTGCTATACTTGCTTGAGGAACCGGTTCAGAAGGTCTCCTTCTGATCGGCTTAAAACCATGTTCTATCTGAGGTTCGCTTAAGGGTTTCTTGTTGTTTTTGTAGTAGCTTTCTAAAAATCTGTTTATCTCTTCTTGTGACAACTCTCGAGATGGTTGGATTGAGACATCGACATGAGGTGAGTATTGTGGAGAAGTTCCTTCTTTCGGGGCAGGCGTGGCGTGATACTGTGGGACTACTTTTTGGTGGACTACAATGTTCTCGGGTTCCACTGCACTAACGTCCAAAGGAACAAGGGTTTCTTGTGAATTTTGTTCGATCAGGTTCAAGTCTACTGGTAGACGAACGGGCTTTTTAACGACTTTTGTCTCCTGAAATGGAAAAATGTCGAAGATTATTTATTTCTGAGGCTCTATTACATCGTTAGCTTTGCAATAGCAAATAATCGTACCTAGAAAACAAGTTCCATCAATAAAGTCAGACAAGATTGACAAATAATTTTCTATTGAGTATATTCAATCTAAAATATGAAACTTGTACAGTGGTTGTGTCGCTGACGAGTCTTCAGTGAAACTGCAGATGTAGAATTGAAAGACTGACATTTCAGCCACCTTCGTCGTATTTTTTAAGTCCAAAATGACAGTAACAATATATTTTATTCATCTGTCTTCCAGGTGGTAGCTCAGTTATTTTTGTGTTTAGTAAAAGTAACCTACACAGATTCTGTGAAAAGCTTGAATAGCTTTCAGTGGTCGATAACAGAGACTGGGATGCCATTTACTAACAAGATCTTAAATCTCCAAATGTCTATTTCTATTATGCTACTGGTTATTTTTGGAACCTGTAAGTATACGTACCTGGTTTTTAATGTAATTTGGATATTTTGAGTTCATGCTGGATCTCTGGGATTCTTCCGCAGACTCTTCTTGTAAGTAGTAGTTTTGCTTTTCAGTTTCCTCTTCCCCTTCTTTAACGTACTCATTCTGGACTTCCTCAGAACTGAAAAATGTTACAGATGCAGGCCAAAAACAAGCACCAAAAAACTAACGGTTGGATAAACATTGTTTTGAGTGAGTTGTACAAACATCAAGAAAACGATTCTAATATTGCCTGTTGGCGCTAATGGCCCCATATCCTAAATGGATTATTTAATAGAATTCAACGTATTCCGAGTAATAGTATCCTCAGTAGAGATGGCCGATATCCTTATTTTTGAATATCTGTAATATCTTATATCGTCGCTTTTTGATATCCGTGATTTACAACCGTGACGTGTTCAAGACTTTCGAATATCGATGAGATTATTGGTATACAGATATCCTGAGCAAAATACCGCGATACAAATTGCATGGAGCAAACTACCGAAGCCTATGCGGCACGATATCAACGTGCACTTCGTGTAGTGTATTCTTTATAATGTAGAGATGACTGCAGACAGAGCTTCATATATATGAGGATACTCACATTGCCTTCAATGTACATACACTGAGAACCAAGTTTGTCTTATGGCCCGAGTTCAATGTGTATAAGAGAGAAGTGTGTATAGAGACATATGTTAGAAAGACGTAGAAGCCGGCTGGATAGCGAAGCTCATCTCCGCGTTGCCTAGCAACGCTGACGCAACAATTTGCCGCGTTGCCAATATGGTGCAGCAGTATTGGGAATTGTGTCGAATCTGTTTGGAATCTATTCCAGATCGGTCCTAATTACCCTCCATTTTAGATAGAAATGACAGGTCGGGTTCGCTACAAATTCTGCAACATTGCATCATTGGTTCGCTTGGCAAAATTGCATCTCGTACAATCCAAGGTTTCCACCTCCTTGATTATAGATGAGCGTTTAGTCGATAGTCAGTGCCCACCTAGTGGTGTCATTGGGAAGTCGTTCTGCTTCGAAATGGTTTTTACCTGCGTAGACGCAGACAGAGATAACTTGAATTGCGTAATGGTATTTTGACACATTTTCCGACCGTTGGCTGTCGCAAACTGTAACAATAGTATGTGTTGATCTATCACTGTCGGTGGAAATCAAAGGTAATTAAAATAAATTAAAACACTTAGTCGCATCAAAATCAATAGTTCTAATTAAAATGAAAATAAAATATTGAATTGAATGTCTAAACAGACCTCCTTCTTGGGTTTGATAGTAACCTAACTTATTGTAGAAGCCTGTGCGAACATTTTGTGGTGTAACATACTGACAACGCGACAGATGCACGATTCTCTGCATCACCGATGCTAGGCAATGAGGTGATGACCTTTGCTCTTCAGTCGGCTTCTATCTCTTTCTAATAATATTTGTGTGGATATACACTTCTCGTGCTTCTCTCTCGAACACATTGAACTCAGGCCGTCAAATAAATTTATACAGTATGACTTGTGTAAGTACAATCAATGGACCATGACACCATTAAATTATTTGTATTTGTATTCAAACGTATTCAACCTTAACTTACTTTTCTGGGAATGAGTACTGGTACTGATCTCCCAACAGATACTGTGAAGTTTCCTCGTGAGGCTCAGAAGGCTGTAGTGTAACCTCCTTATGACTCGTAGCATGCTTGGGATATGATATATGTTGCGAGGGTCCCGAGTGCTTTACCACTGCGTTGAAACCGGTTTTATCATCGGCAGAGTATTCTACTGTTCTAACAGACCCATCCGGTTCTACGACAGAATAGTGACCAGTGACGGTATCGCCGTGTTTTTTCTCCCATTGGTTCTTTATGTCACCTGTATGGTAGTCCTTTACACCGTAACTGAAGGAGTAATCTGTGGGCTCATTCTAAAACACATAAAGAATAAATTTATTAGTCTTATTATAAACTTCTTTTTCCTTCAAATATTTATTAAGTGGCCAAGGATTTACACACATCCTATCAAGGTTTTGTGTCTTACACCTCGGGAGAACCAATCTGCGACTGTCATACAAGATCTCAGATCGCACCATCGAAGCGGTCTCTAGTCATAGTGATCATGGGGTTGTAATCAACCATCGTTTAGCCTGGTCAGAGCATATACATCACGTACTCGTAACAACTAAAGCCAGGAAGCTTTCATACAAGCTGGAAATGACTTTCAACAGACCCGATGTCCACACTTGCGCCTTTATTTACAAGGCCAATTCTTGAATTTGCTGGCCCTGTATGGAAAACTGTGCTTGTGCGCGACAGAAACCTCCTTGAAGCAGTACTGCGTCTGGCAACTCGAATCTCTTTTCGAGCTTTCAGATCCAGCTGTGAAGATTGCCTTGAGTTATTCCACTTGACCACATTCTCCGACCGAAGAATTCTAGGCGATCTCATAGCTACCTTTAGAATACATCATGATTTGATTGGCGCCAACCTGAAGCACCTATACAAATTGTCACGTAGCAATCTCCGTGGTCACAGATTTAAACTGCAAAATCAGCCGTTTAGAAGGACAGCGCCACAGTGGTTTCTATCCAATCGCATATTCAACACTTCAAACAGGTTACCAGAAAATGTGGTTAACGCGACGTTATTCAATAGCTTCAAAGTGTATTAGGATAGGTGAAACAGTGAACAAACTTTATATTTATAGTATATTTATATACTATGAAATTTTGGTTTTTATTTTATGTACTTTACGGTATCTATCCATATACTATGTTTCCCTTTTGTACATGAGCTTATAGTAATGTACCCTGCTCATTTTTATTTTATAACAATAATAATATCAACAGGTAGCAATTAGTTCATTAAGAGTTCCTGGAAGCTTAAGCTTTGTTATATCCTGGAAAAAGAACGCGCTTTGAATTGGTTTTGCGATATTGATCATACAAGACCGCAGAAATTTTAGAATTAATTCATGAGACTGCCTTTGATATTCCCCTTGGTCGCTTACCCTTACTCGTCTATAGATAAACAGATTCTGGAATATAGCAATGAAAAATGCGAAAAACGTTTCGAGTGGAAGACGACCGTTATACTTACATGATCATCGTGAGATGGTGCATATCGTAATGTGAGTGGTGTAGAGAGGCCAGTCCTTATCATGACCAGGATACATATAAACTCCTGCAATAAAACAAGTTCTCATAAACTAGATGTGGGAAGAATGATCCATTTAAGAAATAAGCAAAATTATTAAGATTTTGTTTAGAAATTTAAGATGGAGAGTAAACTTTTTTTATAATTGTTGGCAAGTAGTAAACGCTATCTGTAGTTTTTATACCTCGATGAATTGCTAATGTCATACCTTAAAGACTTTTGGGGGATATGCATATGTCTACATCTTTCAGTTTGAATAGTCGTTGCATTGTGGGGGATGAAAAAATAATGTTTGCTCGAAATATTTTTAAAAACACTGTGCATGAACATGTTTAGATTTCAGTCATTTGAGAGCACACTTTTTCTCTTTTATAGTTTCATTGTACATTGTAAACCGTCTTTATTCATTTTTGCAGAAATTAGTTACTATTATTATAAATTCTGTATGGATAATAACTTCCGAAAGTATGGATAAATGGTCGGTGGAAAGTATGTATTTAATTTATTAAGTCCCTTATTCTACTTCGAACTTGGTTGAAGTGTATCATTTAGCAATGATAAGGACTTTAGCAGAATGAGGTAGACTAAAATTTTAAATAGAAATTTTGCTGTTTCTTTTACTGTTAAAATTCATGTATGTGCTTGAAATGTTTTCACCGTATGTAATTGCGAAAGCATTACAATTTGGTTGGTAATCTCTCGTTACACTTGGACCGTTCAATAACTAAGGTCTTTGTTCTGTTCATATTTAGTATGTTTTCTCCTACATGAATATGAAATGAACGAAATCTCTAAAATAATTGCGAGAATAATAAAGAAATGATCCTCTTATATGGTTTTTAATCTTAGCTATATTTTTATAATTATATGTAGGTATGTATAGTATAGTAAGTACAGTTGTATTTATGTCTGAGCATTTCGATACTCATATATTTATTTGGATCTTTGTCTTCAGTTTTTCAAGTTAGAACTTTAGCTGACATTCAAAAGATTTTTTGATATTGAAGGAGCTGCGTCGACAGAAACCTAAATACCAGTAAACCGTGGCTGCCACGAGAAATTTTATTAATCCGATTTTTTGACTGCCTACGGTTAGGCAGTTAGGAACAGTAGTATCGGCCAGTTCTGGATGTACGGGGTTCGACACGGTCAGGATGGGAGGCCAAAGTTGCGGGTCTGTCTGGCAAGACACATCGAGCGACGGCATCACGGAGGAGAGTTCTGAAGAGCGAAGCCCGTTGTCATGCTGGTAGAAGAACATCCCAAGACTGTCCGTTAGAGAAAAGTCATTGATCAGTCGGACAGCCCTTTGAACACCATCGAGCATGGATAATGCATTCGAGGCGGCAGCACCTCAAGCATGTGAGCAGTACTCGAGGCTAGATCTTATCTGGGCATTGTATAGAGAGTGGCGAGGTTATGTGGTGGAAAATACTTCTTATTCCTAAACAAAAAGCCCAGCTTTTTTCCAGTAGCTGCAGCTATTCACGATCTCGTCGGTCGGAATCATCTGAACTGAAGTGGCTCTTTGATAAAATTCGGTCATCCATTGAGACCGGCGTTTTTTTCTGGCCAAGTACCCAAGCTGTGATAACCTCCAGGTCCCTCATCAGAGAGGAAGTTGCTGCTGTCTTATTTTCTCCAGCTCACCGACAGAGAACGGCTTGTCACTCTGGGTTGATCGTACAGAAAAGGAGGTCGTTGATTTACTTTTGACCATCCAAGTATTGGTTAATGAAAAGAAAAACTCTAAAGTCGAAGATGCTATTGAAATGTTATTGTGATGTAAGTACATTTTCTGTCGAACCTTCATGTTGACTTTCCTCTATGCTGACCTTCTTAGCAATTGATCGAGGTCGCTTTATTATATGACGAAGGAAAACTGAGAGTTCCGAATAAGAAATGATCATTGCAGTATTTAAGTATTTCGAAATGAGAAAATTCATCTCTTTAGTTTCACTGTATTAAAGATACATGTAATTGAGTCCTTCAGGCAATGAAGTTATAGCTGACTATAAAAGCATTGTAATGTTTGACGATTGTCATAGTAGGTATACAATTATTATTTGTTTGTAAAGTGTTTTCTTGCTAAGATTGCCAACTGTCAAAAGTCAATAAATGCTCTGTACAATAAGAACTGCAACTTTATTATGAACAGCATATTAATGCCCATTAGATATCCAGCATTTATTTTTGAATATAGTTAGGAATATCTATGTTACGTATTATATCAGTAAGCGATTTGCCATATTTTTCTAGTTGACAGCTCCTAATGGACCTTGATGTGTAGATCTCAGTAAAGTTAGAATCAAATGACTGAAGGTTTTTGCGAGTATGTATGGATAATCTCACACTTTGGACAGAAAAGACCGACAGGGCAATACTGTCGAGCTGTTCTGCTTAAGAGTAGCTATAAAAGCTTTCCCTTGTCAAAATATAGTGTTAGAATTGGATACCATGAGGAACCAAAGCATTCGTTGGAACCACGTCATCCATTGAGAGAGCAGCTTTTTGGTCGTAAGAGTTCCGGATCGAGCTTTATCTGTGCTATGACAAAGTGACTGCTGCAAAAGAAGAAACTTGCTTGTGGTAGTGCGTTCAAACAACATTAATAAAGAATCGAGAAATGGAAATTTTATCTACAGAATAATTTCCTTGATCTAAATATTTCTGGTTAGTCGACTTTCGATAAGTGTTAAGCCCATTTGCTCTCACTTGCTGAGCCAACAAATTAATCTAATTAGAGTATAAGAACCTGATCACCAGTACATAAATCATTGCATCAACCAAATGAATTGAATGCATATTAGCCAATCATTTTTCAGCGATCAGTAAAATTATAGACACACTACATTTGAAAGTTACACTGTTAGATAGAAGAGAGCTTTTCTCATAAGCTTAATCTATGAATACTTTATTGCGTACTAGTTACAAACCACTCTTTATAGTGACAAAAGTGTTAGAAAATGAGGATTTAACATTTCCCTAATCCTAATCCACAGTAGTACTGAAATGAAACAGCACAAAGTGCCATCTATTACCAGAACCGATCAAGTTGTCTGTCAGACCATGCGAACTCAGATATTTCGAGCCAGCTTGATATTTTCACTTCTAGTGATAGATGGTACTTTGTGCTGTCTTATTTCCATGAGCCTTATATTCTAAATAGAGTAGAATTGTACAGCTTTCGTTCGTTGTCCACCGAGACCAAGCCTACACCATACTGAGGAGTTGCCAAATAGCACGAAACAGCTGTCCATGGTTGGCCGTCTGTAGTCGAATGAACGGAAGCTATATTACTTATCAAAATTTCATCTTTCCGTGTTTTTCTTTTGAACCTCCAAAAATACCAAAATGCTTTTGATTCTGTCATAGTTTAAACAAGACATTTCGAAACAGAAAAATAGTTGAAGTAAGTATGACCCTTGGTTGAAATAACTTTTTTAAACATACAGGTCTGTTTGGTGTTGCCGATCAAAATTTTGCCTCAGTAGTTTTACATGGAGTTTTAGTCATGGCCCGAGGACATACCTAACACAAATTTACTGAGGTTATGAAAAATTGTCGAATGAGCTCAGTAGCAAGACACCATACACAATATGCATGTACTTACGAGTACAAGGTGTCCCTAGTTTCAATTAGTACTTCTATTTGTTTGAACTGAGAATACTTTCTTAAATGTTAACTTTTTAGAGCGCTTTCTAACGGAATGCTCTTCATTTAGTTGGAACTATTTGAGGCGCTTAATATAGACCAGGACATTTTACATGCCCTCCTAAATCACAATACTTCCTCGTTGACTGAAGTGGGAATTAATTAAGAGTCTACTGACCTTCCTCCAGCGCATCTTCCAAGTTCACGTCTGCGAAAATCCAAGCACTTACACACTCACGAGATGCGCGATCTTAACCTTGCCCGTTGAAAACTTTCACGTACTGCCACTGAATCTTCGCCACATATATTTATAACGTCTTCTTCCCTACTCGGGCCGGAAAGCTGCCCATTTCGGACGATCTTCACAATTATTTTTTTTTTATTTATCTGTCGCAAACATCTTGACGGTGGACGTGATAACACGTTCCATTGGAGAGATTTTTTCTGCAGGCGAAAGAACATAAGCTCACAAACTATTGCTTCATTTTCATTAACATGTGTTAGGTATGTTCGTATAATGAAGCTTTAGACAACTTGGAATATTTTTAGTTTGATTAATAGAGTTTAAGAAAAATCACAGGTGCCCGAAAATATCTAAACTACCAAAATAGCTGTGCACTTCTAAAGAGAACTTCGAAAACACTAAATTTCTTTTAAATTTCTTAGTCTCGCTAAAAGAATTATAGTCGATAAAAGCTTTGAACTATTTGAAATTTGTTGTAAGAGATAATTCCCAAAATGTTAACTTTGACAGAATCACCTTCGTTTTCTCGCACACTGTTGGGAAACATGTATTTAAAATTTGTATATTAGACTTCCTCTCGCTCTGTGTGAGTGTGTGCGTGTATTTCCTGGTGTAGGAATCAGCGAGTGGAATCGGATTTCCATTTTGGATACAGATAAGACACGGCTGTCAGAGAATCAAGCTTATTTTTCCCAACTCTGACGAAACCCTAACCACTAAGCATAATGGGGTCTCGCTGGTACTTATTACGTCACAGTCCTGGAGCAAAATTTTACGAAAAGTTTAAGTTCTCAGAATATATACCCAGTGACAGAGAAACTGGAACACCTTGTAAACATGAGTTTCAAAATTATTCATTTTGAACCTCATAAGACAACTATATTTTTACTCCATGACCACAAGCGTAAAAATAACAAAAAACAATTTTGTTGGATATAAGTACTTATGGTATAAGAAATAGATATGATTTACTGAAAATTCTCCAACCAGGAAAGAACTCATTGCTACGAACACATGAAATAAAGAGACACACAAACATTAACAAGTTTACAAAAGAGTTAAAGAAATGGATAATATCTGCTCGTCGATCCAAAATTCATCAAGCAATACTTAGTTGGAATAACATTTTTCCAATGTTCTGGAGCCAACGAGTTAATGTACTACTTACCATTGAGGATGTTCACTTATTTTCTTCAAATTAAATATTGAGACCTTCCGTTGTGCTTACTTTTTATGATTAATCACAATATTATTATTTCCCTAATAGTATGCTGTACTACCCCAATGAGACATACATTTGTGGTGGTGTGTTTTTAGTTTGATGAGTTATGTCTTTCTAAGATATCTCATCCCAAGGTATCTGTATTTGGTTTCGGAGAGCTGATAGGGCTTGGAAAAAGGTAGAACGTTGTCTCAAGCGTTACTGAGGTAGCCCATTGTAGGTTTAGCAATATAGGGGTACACATTATCTTGTTCAAAAATGGGTTTTTCAAAGGTTTGGACAAATGGCAGGAAATGGGGTTCCTCCATCTCCTTCTCTAATGGAAACTAGGAAACAATGTACTTAACCGTTGCCCCTTCTGTCTGTAACTCTAATTCTAACACTAATTATCCTCATTTGCTCTATTTCAGTCCTCTTTACCAACGTTCAGTTGAAGGTCACCTACACCATACTGTAGGAGTCATGGTTTGAGGTGCCATTACATATATGTAGTGCTAAGCCACCTCCAGTTTCCATTAGATGAGGTATGATGGCGCAACGGTATATTCAGGAAATACTAGATCCTCACCGTTTACTAATTCTTGGAAACCCTGAAAACCCTATTTCCCAACAAGATCTTTATATTTCATATACACTTGAAGTTAATTACTATTCACTAATATCATCAGAAACTAAAATGAAATCTTTTTTTTTTGTTTTCACAAATTAGATATACCTGTTACGCCTAGAATTAAAAAAAACATGATTCAGAGTTCCTATGTCGTTTTGCTTCTTCTTGGAATGAGTCACAATGTTCTCAAAGTCAGTCATCACCTGCTTATCAGATTGGTCTTGGTATACGAGTATACCATATTTTTATATAAAAATATCCTGAAAGGTGGACAAATATGAACTCATTTTTTCGAACTTCCATTGTCTGTATTTTTAACTAAGTACACAACGCTTCGATTAGTAAGTATCTCTAATCGTTATCAAGTGTGAAATGAGAACTTATCCTAAACGCTACATATTTATATACAGTTGTGTGCTACGCCTCCTAATTCTATGAACCGTGAAGTTTTAGAAGAGGTTCTGTTTTAAGTAGGGATTTCCAAATGTTTGGGATTTCCACAGTGGCATTACTAAAAATTCCAGTGTTATTCTCGATAAATTCTGTTTCGACAAATTTTCGTTTTTGCTAATGCTGTTCCCTGAACAGAAGCTTGGTTTCTGACCACTTTGGTATTGATTGGTCCATACATGTTCAGTGATATCTGGTTGTCTCACCCAGTCGTGTATGCTGTTCCTTAACCCTAACCGATGGTGGTCTTTTGGTTTCTCCTATACAGGGTGTTCCTCAATGGTATGCGAATATTTAAGGGTGTGAATCTACATAAAAAAATAATGTTACTTTACTTCATAAACTATGGTCGAAAAATGTTTCCTTACAAAAACTCGGAAATTAATTAATATTTTCAGAACCGCTTCAGATATTTCACTAATATTTAGTACGTAGTGAATGATAATAAAGTTGCATATTTTTCAATGCAAAAATAATTTTCAGCTTTAACAGTGGCGTGCGTACGCGTATTGACTTCGATATTTCTTAAGAAAAAAATTATTTTGATTTTCCCGTTCAATTTAAAGCAAATGATCTCTATTGAATTGTTTTCCTTGGATGCGCCATTTTTGAGTAAAGGAAAAAAAACTATTCTATTGTCCGAGAAAATTAATGTAATAATTGAAGAACGCAATTTAGCAATAAATATCTAGTTGCTCTGGAATATGTCACTGGCTTTTGACATCTGATAAATCTCTTCGCTGTGACATCTTTTTCATTATTTAGTTTTTACAATCTTGTTAATAATGGTGAATTATTCAAATGTAGAAATGGCAGAAATTCATTATGTATATGGCCTTGCCGACGGTAATGGTGAGCAAGCCAGACGGATTTAACACCAGAGATATCGCGATCGTGCTTTGCCAGATAGTCGAACCTTTTCTAATATTCATCGCCGTCTTGTTGAAACTGGTTGTCCGAAAAGGAACGTCTGAAGGTAGACCTCTAAGTGTGAGAACACCTAAAATTGAGGAAGCAGTGCTGCACATAGTCGAAGAACAACCTGAAACGAGTACGAGGCAGACACACTTAAATATTTGCCATCAAATTGTTTGGAGAATTTTAGTGGATTGTTTGTTATATCTTTACCATATTTTAAGAGTACAGGCATTACTTCCCATTGATTTTCCAAAGCGTGTGACCTTTTGTCAGTAGTATCTTAAAAAAAATTACACAAAATCTGTAATTTGAATCAATGATTCTGTTCACGGACGAAGGTAATTTTTCTCGAAATGCCATTCAGAATTTCCACAGTAATCATTTGTGGGCAGAAGGAAATCCCAATGCCGTAACCGAAACCCATTTCCAACACCAATTTTCACAGACGTATCTGAATTTTCTTCAACAACAGTTGCCTTTGCTGCTTGATGATGTTCCGTTAGTAATAAGAAACAATATGTGGTACATGCATGATGATGCACCAGCGCATTTCAGTGTAGCGGTTCGTAATTATTTACAAACCGTTTATTCAAATCGTTGGATTGGCCGCAGTGGGCCCCAAGAATGGCCAACAAGGTCCCCAGACCACAACAGTTTAGATTTCTTTTTATGGGGCTATCATAAGATACGAGTGTACACAAGTCCCATTAATAATGTAGAGGAATTAAGAAAAAGAAAAGTCGCAGCTTGTGATAGAATAAAAACACTCCAGCGATATTTCAACGAGTGCGCAATTCCATGAGAAGGAGCGCGGAAGCATGCATACTAAGTGAAGGGGGCCATTTTCAACAATTTTTGTAATCATTTTGTTGGTTTTAATGTTATGTTTATGTTGCCAGTTTTTGTTGTTCATTACCCCTAATGTGTTTAATTTTTCCAATTAAATCAATAATAATTTTGCAAGTTAGACAATAGAACGGTTTTTATTTTTTTACTCAAAAATGGCGCATCGAAGGAAAACAATTCAAGAGCGATCATTTGTTTAAAATTGAACGGGGAATTCAAAAATTTTATTTGGCAAAAAACCATTGGCGTAAGATTTTTTTCTTAAAAAATACCGAAGTCAATACCCGTCACACGCCTGTTAGTCATATATTGGGGATAGCACCGGAATTTTTAATAATGCCAGTGTGAAAATACCAAACATTTGTAAATCCCTATTTAAAACAGAACCTCTTCTAGAACTTCACGGTTCATACAATTAAGAGGCGCATATAAATAGGTACTAATCGAAACGTTGTGTACTTAGTTAAAAATACAGACAATGGAAGTTCGAGATAACTTAGATCAATTACACATTAATAAATTTCTCCCATTAATTTTACACCTTCTTATGAACTTGTTTACTTAGTATTATTTAAGTAGATCCAATACCATTATATCAATAAACAACAGCCGCATCAATAAAATTTTAACTTCGGCTTATAGTCGTTAACGGATACGTAAAAAAACAAAAACTTTTACCCATGTACGTATTCACTTTCTATGAGTCCGATGGACGTCTCATCTGGCACATCAAACATCTGTTTGAAATTGCGGATCGGGTTGCCGCTGGTTATGTTGCTCCAAGATCCCAAGTTCCGTATTGGGACAGATGTTTCTAAGAGGACCCATTGTTTTGCAAAAATTGAACTTTCATTTTTGTATTGGATCGTTTCGTAATCTTCCGACATATACCCAAAATATCTCCCTCGGTATGAGTGTTATCAGCTACTGCTGAAGATGTTTGATAGGCATTGAAATAACTGTGATATTCATCCGCTTACTTTAAGCTGTTAAGCTGTCAGCTTCTTTGTCTTTGGCACAGATTGACTAATTGTAGTATGTGCAGAGCTTGACTTCCTTGAGGCTTGTCATTCTGATAGTGACCAGCATAGATTGACGAGAACATTTTCAAGGAGCCGAGACAAAATTATACAAAGAAATGGCCGCACATATTGGTTGATTGCATTATGTATGTGTGATGGAGACAGATGTATAGAAATAATTCCTGTAGTTTTACATGGCCAATGAGTGAATCAGGGTTTCGCGTGTCATTTCCAATTGGAGTATCCAGGCTTCTTGTTCATATCCATAATTTATTCGCCAATAACATAATTCAGATTGCTACAGTGAACTACCCAGAAGCATTCTGCGCTTCCAGTATCAGTGCGACGTTGAAATGGCTAAAACACATTGGACATAAACAAAACAGTTCTAGGACAGTTCCTTGTAGAACTCGAATAAGGCTAGCGTCTGTCCGCCGGACACTTGGCTAAAGTACTGTTGGCCAATAAACCTATCAGGAAAATGAAAATAAAAGAAGTCTGATAGGAAGAGGAAGAACGGTGTCGGTCGGAATGGTGCATTATTAGCTTGGATTTGGAAATTATAACTTGATTGAAAACATCAATTTAAATATTCTTTATTGGTGAAGCAATGTAATTGTGGTTGCATTAAAAATTGCATGTTCCAATTTTAGATGTTTAAAAACGTGATTTCTAATGTTATATGGAATCGACCTTCAAAGAGGTACTCGAGCTTAAAAAGGGCGCCTGAGAATGGCGCACAGTACTTTGAAGAATGAGCTACTAACAATGTATAAACATCTTTTTTTCACTTTCATTCATTAATTATTTATTAGTATTGTATAGACGGAGTAAATAATACGTATATATAACTAACACAATACAGTCATCTTGTTTACTTACATATCGGCCATTGTGATTTTCATACACAGGTATATGATAAACTTCTACACTGTGATATAGGGCTATTGAATTACTTGCGCAGCAAATTTTATTGTGATTATCGTGCAAAGTAGTTACGCAACTTCTACGGGCCTCGTATTTGATTCATATTTTGATAATGATCAAAAGTATGTCTAGATATTTAAGATGGAAAACTGAACTTATCTGCGTTAAATCTTCCACAAATCCTATATTTAGACACAATTACACTAATGTTTATCACTTTATATCTGTAATTTCGAACTGAAACATAATTATTTAATATCAAATAGAGGAATAAATGTTTGCCCAATATGGCGGGTGGTTGTGTATAATCATGGCATCGTCCATGTTTTCTTTAGTTTATTAGAATATTTTGGTGTTGCCTGCAGGTGTTATACAATTTGACAAATGTCAGAAATGAAATACCGACAGAGTCGAATGATTTACCTAGAATTTGTACCAGATCTATATCTTCTGTTTGAACAGTTGATAAAACCTTTTTATCCAATACGCATGCGTTGTTTGTCTTAAAACATTGGTTATGGCATTTTAACAAAAATATGACAGCAGAAAGTTAGGTTATGGTGAAGTTGTATACCAACATATTTAGCATATGTACAGCCTTTAACATTTACTAAACAACAGTTGTATAAGTGCTTCCGTTGGGAGCAATTTGTTGGCTAAAGTAGTAAATTTCCACAGCAAAACAACAAGGCTCGGATTTGTTTTATAAACGTTACCATGGATGCCACAACACAACCATTTTGACTAATCTGCAAATATGCCGTATAAAATAGTTGACAATTTGTCCTATAAGGTGTTGTGTAACTATGCTATAAGAATATTTTAAACACCTCATTTTAGAGCAAATATGTTGCAGAAAGCAGATTTGCATTCCACACAACATTAAGCCAGCATTTTGGTGCTCAGGCAACAACAGTAGAGAGCTTTTATGGCTGAACGGTTCTTTTAGCAAAAGCTTATAGCACTACTTTGCTAGTTGGGTATAGCCTCATAAAACTGGTAGATATGATACTTAGGTGATTATTAAATTTTTCTACTCAGAAATAATGGTCACAAAACTCTCTCTTAACTTTTTGATCTTCGTTGTTCCGTACATGATACTGACCTCAGGTTTACTATGTGCTTTATTATCACTAACAATGTATAAAAACATTTCTTTCCACACTTATTCATTAACTTTGTAGCATAATATTGTGTTAAGCTTGTGATACTTAAGTTTTTTATGGAAACAGATAGATATACCAAGCAATACCGTTTTCACCTATTCTGTTTTAGGAATCAGTTATGTAGTACGAAATTCAATTGTAATTTCAAAGAGAAATGGCAGGTGTGCAGTGAAAATAAAAGAGAAACTGTAAGATGTTCGATAAATAAGGTGAAGAGGGGTAGCTTTGAAGATGCTATGGTTACGGTTTATAAATTGAATGCTGAAGGAAGCTCCTAATTAGATAATATACTCTAACGTTCAATACGTAAAGCAAACATTTGCGCTACAGGTCTAGTATTTCATTGATGAAGTCAAAGATTTCACTGTGTTTCAAAAACTCAATTTCATGCTTCATTCGAAAGATAATTTTCGCATTAGTAGGATTAGATGATAGCCAGAATTTAGCTCCTACAAAAAATCTTGTACCATCGTACCTCCCTTTGGTGCTGTGCCCTTATTCGATTTTCATAAAATAAAATGATATAGATAACATAAAAATTAGGCAAGGCAAAATAAATTTATATTTTTAATGTTTGTTGGTTGAAATAGCTAAAGCTATATTCCACCACCTTTATGGACTGCGTTATATGAAGATATTTTGTATCTTAGAAATGGAGTGGTTACGATTATTATTATATACGCCATCTGTTAACTTGAAACTAAAAATCTTGCTGCGCTTGCATGCTTACTTTCTCTTCTTGCAGTTTTTGTGGTACTACTTTAATGGAACTATGTAGCTTTGAAGAGATGTTGGAACACGTTCACTAAAGATGGCGTGGTAAGGGAACCATCGAAGTTTTCTATACAATGCCTATATGGTGACCTCTATACAAAACAACTTGTAGCAAACTTTCGCTCGTTGCAATCTTTAAGTGCCTTTGTGCGCAACAGTAGTACTGTAATGAAGAAGTGGCTTTCGTATTTCCGTGAGCTGATTTAATACACCTAGCAAAGATGGCGCGCTAAGAGTCACCGTAAGTTATCCTTACAATAGATATGATGTCAAACAGTTTGCAGTTGTACTTGTTGGTACTACATGTAATTATAGGCAGCTGCTTTGATACTTGTCTTAGAGGTGGCGCGTTAAGCACCTTTGGTTGATATTAATAGATTAAAAAATCATTTAGCGAAATGCCGCAGGAACTTTTATCAGGGGGAGCTAATCCTATAAATCCCCAAAATTGTATACAAGATGATGCTAAATACGTAACTTTTTGTGTTCAAGCAGATTCTGAGATTACGTTTCTAAATATTTACAATACTCATAAATACAATCAAAATACTGAAAATAATGAGTGCATTCAGCCATCGTAAGGGCGATAACACATTGGAAGCTGGTTTCCTGCTTACCGCCAGCCAGCGCCGATCGGCGCTCATAAGCTTCTATAATAATCTCATGCTCTTGAGTTGGAACACAATAGAGGCAGGCTCAGGCTTGTCGGCGCAGGCAGTCGGCGTTACCGATTTTGCCGGAATGATTATTTAATTCTTTCTCGCCGGTCGTCAGAGCAGGTTGATGTGGATAATGGATATAGACAAGTCAAATCGCATCAGTATACAAACAATGCCCCATATGGGATAAAAGTAAATAAACAACGCAGTAACTGAAATGAAGTTGACAAATGTTGGAAATAAATACTGAAAAAAGCGGTTGGGGTCATCTTTCAACGTCTTGAACAAACAATGATATTTACCATAATGTACCCCCTCATTTATGGGGTGAATACGAACTTTCTTTACTAGTGATTATTTCAGTTACAGAGCTGTAAATTGCATAAACTCATATTCAGATGAGCTAGATTCCATGTTGACGCGAATACTACGCTGGAACTGACAAGAAGCCGGTTTTATTTGCTTTTTTCTCGTCAGAACTGTGTCCATGACCAGCGCCGAAATTCGGTACCGATCGGCGCTGGTTGCCAGTAAACAGAAAGCTGCCATCTACTGTGTTTTCGCCCTTAGGCGGTCCAGAGGTGCAGCGCTTCTATGTTGAATAGCAATAGTCATGGTATAGCTTTGACAGTAGTTTACACAAACTGTCAGTTATTCCACGCCTACTGATTTTCAGCATAAAAGCGCTGCACCGCTGGAGCGCTTTACGTTAGATGAATGAGCAACCAATATTTTGGTTAGTACATGGTTGACAATGGCAGTTTTTCATTTCATCACTTGATATGCCAGATTCTACGAGTATATTAAAATGACAGAGTGATTTAGATTTGCTTCAAATTTTATCACAGTGTTGGCACACAAGTCCAAGCATGCATCGTTTGACCGACCTGTATCGTAAATAAGCTTGAATCTTAGAAAAACTTGTATAAAATGCTATGTTGAAATATTTGGAACAAAATTGTCAATCCAGGAATAGGATATTTTCCATAATGTTAAATGTGCATACATAATTTTATCGGTTAACCAGATCTTCATGACACTATTCCAAAAATTTTTTTTCTGAATTGCTTCTTTTTTTTAAAAAAAACTGCTCATTCTCAAGTAGTCTACATTTCCTACGAGGGATTATTTTATCTCCAATATAATACAGTTATAAAAATATAAAAATAGCAAAATATCATAGGAATAACAACTAGCCATTTGGGATTTTATAGTGCAAGATGTTTCAAAACTACTAAAATAAAGGGAAGGTATGCTGTCCACACTGACTAACTGTATGCAAATCTTTCCAGAATCCTCACCCATACAATTTTACGTATGGGTGCGCAAAATGCAAATTCGTTAATCTCCTATTGTATAACGAAACATTGGATCCTGCTAACCTTGCCTGTTAATTTCACCACACCTACAGAAAAATAAGATTCCTTACAACATTCGGAGACAGTAGGACCCGTCTTATGTCGTATTAGCATCTAATCTTTTAATTATGTCCAATGTCTATTTTGACATGCCACGCTGCAGTGGTAAGCTTTTCACGGAAGTCTCGAGACAATTAGACAATCCTATTAGGACCAACATGCCAATATTTGATTACAATTGTTAAACAAAATTAGATAGCGCATTCCTAAGACTGCCTACTTGCAAGCCTGTTTGTGGTAATCATTTTTGAATATGGTACTGATAGATACCATATGTTTTCCAACTTTTCTTAAAATAAGTA